ACTATAGCCTTACCACATCAGAAAAGGTTCTAGTTGGATATGTGAAACTATTTCCATTAACTTTCGAATAAGGTAGTACGGTTTAGAACCAACCATTGTTGTTAACTTCATGATATACTATGAAATGGTATAAATTACTATACTTATTGACGTTATAATAAATACTGCCGTAGCTTATCCGGAATACAGCCATCATGGGTTGTTCTTTAATTTTAATGTGATTTACAAGATCTTCCATTTAATTCCACTTAATTAATTTTGGTATCCATGACAGATACGTATTTCGACTACAATGTGCAGTCTTCATCAGTGTCATTCCCACTGAAGAACTTATCAAAATCTAACCCCCTTAAGTACTCATCCCCTAGGTATAAAAGTCAAGATCGCAGGTATATAAATGAAACTACAATGTGTTGAATCGGAACCTACCTAACTAATTAAAACCAAAGATTTAAGTAAGCTAAAGGAGAAAAATCTATTCAACTCTCTAATAAGGAAAATCCCAAAGGCTTGGTGGCCATCATAATGAAGTAATGAAATTGGGTTGTTAGCGGAATGCTTTAATAAAACAGCAAAAAAAGGTTATCTTCCATTTAATTCCACTTAATTAATTTTGGTATCCATGACAGATACGTATTTCGACTACAATGTGCAGTCTTCATCAGTGTCATTCCCACTGAAGAACTTATCAAAATCTAACCCCCTTAAGTACTCATCCCCTAGGTATAAAAGTCAAGATCGCAGGTATATAAATGAAACTACAATGTGTTGAATCGGAACCTACCTAACTAATTAAAACCAAAGATTTAAGTATGTTCTGTGTTGATCTTGATAGTAACATAACAATGATAAAGAAATTGATAACTGACAACTCAAGCTGACGACTTCTCACTTGACGTTGTCCGGTGACGTTATCATTTAACCGTTAGTTCTACAGGGTATCGTCAGCGTTTGCTGTTGACGGGGGGTCAGCATGGCCTAAATTTTAGCTGTGCTCCTTTATCCACAAATCTAAGATACCATTAGATTTTTGGAACAAATCAGTGCCAACATTTCAAAGGGGCGTAATTGTATTTGTAATTCAAAGGGGCGTAATTGTATTTGTAATTCAAAGGGGCGTAATTGTATTTGTAAACAATGACTTTCGTCGTCGATTTCTCGCGAATGAAAGCTCACTCATGGAAATGAACGACACCAGCAGGTAGAGGAATGTTTCCTCCAGGAAACTAGTGGTCTTCTCCAGGATACTAGTGGCTTTGGAACATACGGCTTTTGCGAATATGTATCGAAAGGGGAGGATTCCAGCCTCGACACACGTGGATGCTGTGGGAGTGCAAGGAAGAAGACCGGACACACAACGGATGCATCGGTTGAAAGTTGGTGCGAGTTTATCGGTTACATTATCGAAATTTCTACACAGTAGCTCGGCACCGTAGAGCAGTTTGCTACAAATGAGTACCTTCGTGATACGCAGCCCAACGTCACGGTTGTTGTTGGTGTGCTTGCTGGCGATAATTCGTAACAGGTTCAATCGACTTTCGCATTGCTTTTTTATCCGGTCGCAGTGAAACTGAAAACTCATATGACGGTCTAGATATACTCCGAGAACGCGGATCGTGGCCTCGAAAGTTATTACTTCTCCGTCGATTTCGGGGGGATTCTTTTTCGCGCGGTGTTTTCCTAGGCATAGGTTGGAGAATTGACTTTTGAATGGCGATAGTTCGAATCCGACGGATGATGCCCAATCATGCACTGCTTCGATAGCGCTTTGGAGTTTCCTGCGGATCAGGATGGGTCTATGCCCTGTTGTGAGAATGACGATGTCATCCGCAAACACAAAAATGAAGACACCTTTTGGTAAGCATTCGAAGACTCCGTTCATGGCGATGAGTAAGAGGGTTACCGCCAGCCCGGAGCCTTGGGGAGCGCCAGTTTTCTCCGGAAAAGAGTTTGATTTTGTATTTCCGATGCACACGTGTTCGTGAGGAAGTTGCGAATGAAGATGCCCCAGCTGGCCAGTGTTGTTAAAACCCCCGGAGTCCAAGTGCGGTTGTACGCCTTCGAAAGGTCCAGCGTGGCCAAGTCCACGTGGAGGCCAATTTCGAGGGCGTCATCCAGAACTTGTCCGAGTGGCGAAATAAGTACTTGTGCCACATCCTTGGCGAAAAGCATGTTGAGGGTGTTCGAGGAGGTCGTTGTCCCGGATGAATTGCGTTAGTCTTCGATTGACCATCCGTTCCATGACCTTGCTGCAGCAGCTGTTCAGGGATATGGGACGATATCCACTCGGTTCCGTTCGCACGGAGTCTTTCTTAGGAATAGGGATAACAAGACTATGTCGCCACTGAGCAGGAAGGTTCGGTCTGTCCAAATTCGGTTGTAGTTTTTCAGCAGGATCCTTCTGCCGATAGGTGGAAGGTGGCGAAGGAATGGGTACCCGACTTCATCAGAACCAGCTGATTTTCCTTTTCCACTGGCTAGTGCGAAGGACAATTCGGCTTGAGAGAAAGGTCTGTCCGATTCGATTGTTACTGAAAATGCATCGAGCCGAGTGAAATCGTGGCTGTAATCACTCCGAGCGTTGAGTTTAGTGAAGAAACCGCCAAAGATGTTTGTAATTTCCTTCGGGTCCCAGTGATGCCAAATGTTGATGGCGATGCCGTTGGTCTTGCGTTTCCCTTGCAAGGCGTTTATGCTTTGTCACAGTTCGGAAGTTGTGCTGTCGCTGCTTATTCCGTTCAGGAAGTAGTCCCACGTTTTACGCTTGGCGGAACGGATTGTGTCCCGACAAACATTGCGTTTTAACCTGTACTCTGTAGCTACAGCCTCGGCGTCAGGTTGGTTTCTCGGGGTTCGTTTAAATTTTCTCAGGGCTTTTCTCCTCGATTTTATGGCGGCCTTGGTTTCAGGTGTCCACCACCGGAACGCCCGACGCCCAGCGTTTGGACTTGTTTTCGGAATAGCTTCTGAAGCTGCGGCAAGGATGGTGTTGATGAAATCGTCGAGCGGCGTATCGTCTTCTATGGAGCTGACTTCAATAATATGCTCGAAGGGTTTCCAGTCGGCTAGCTCATATTGCCATCGGGGTCGTCTGGTTGTTTTTGGAGCGGTGAAACTGCAGTGGATTGATATGGGGTGGTGATCGCTACCCAAAGGGTCGTCAGCAATCGACCACTGGAGGCGGCCGACAAGCTGCTCACTGGCAAAGGATACATCTATAGTGGAACTGATTTGCGGTCGCGAGAAGGTGGTAGGACCTGAGATCATCACGCCACGCCTCCTCTACGGAATTGGTCTAGTCAGCAGAGGAGGATACATGGTTAAAATATTATCCTCAACCTACAACCGGATGGTCAGACTCGCATCCGGAGTATTCGTCACCAGCCCCACGCTCGCTATCATGGCCGAGGCTTGCGTGTTACCTTTCGATTTGCTAGTCCTACAGTCGTTAGCACGACTATCTATTCGCCTTCTGGAGAAAACTAGCGTTGCTTCCGAGCTTCCAGTCGTACAAAGAACAGCAGAGCTTTTCACCGAAGAAACCAATGCAACTATCACCCAAATCTGCCAACGTCATAGGAACACAGACCGCGAATGGAATGTTCCAAAACCAACGATCATCTGGGATGTCAAAAAGTTTACTAGGGCTGGGGACCCCCCAGAAAAAGTCCGTCCTATAGTACAAGAGGTAACCGAGCGACTTTTTCAAGGACGTACCCTGCTATACACTGACGGATCCAAAGGCGACGATACAGTCGGCGCAGGCCTTTTCGGAATAGGCCTCACCAAATCCAACGCCCTGCCAAGATGCTGCAGCGTTTTCTCAGTATAAGCCTACGCCCTCAACCTAGCACTCAACACTTCACGCAAGACACAAATAACCATTCTAACGAAATCTGCGCTGGAGACGGGTAGATCCAAACACATGGATCCAAAGTATCGAGGCGGCAATCCAATCCAAAAACGTCCAATTCTGCTGGATCCCCGGCCATGCAGGCATCCAAGGAAATATTCTAGCTTGCTGGTGAAGCTAGAAACAACGTTCCACTTGATATCCAAATACCAGCCATGGACGCGATAAGGGAAGTCAAACGTGCTATACAACAACAATGGGACCATCTTTGGCATACATCACGGAATGTTAAGCTCCGTGAGATAAAATTTACCACTAATCCATGGAATGACACCAAAAATCCAGTAGACCAACGGATCCTAACCCGGTTAAGGATCGGACATACCAGACTTACCCACGAGTGCCTGATCAAAAGAACAGACCCACCCGTATGTGAATGCTGCGGCACCGTCGTCATCGTTCGTGATATTTTGCTGAACTGCAGGAAATATCATGATGCTCGTGCAAAATACAACATTGACCGTTCTTGTCTGCAAACAGTACTTCGTAACGAGGAGGAAGAAGAGAAAAAACTAATAGCCTTCCTTAAAGGTACGAATTTGTACAATACATTGTAGTTACTTGTTTCGAGACATGAATGCACCATTAGATGTAAAGTGTCTATAATAAAAAAAATACACCCACAAAGTTGTATTAGGATATGAGAGTTGACGTGAAATTCATACTTTGCAGCTCATGTTTTTGGTATTCCTTTTTGATCACTAGCATCCAGGCCAGTGACAAGGCCTATACCAACAGCAGCGTTTGACAGTAGGCAGCATGTCCCGGGCTTAAATCATTTATTTTGCTGTGCTGGGCCCGCTGTCATTGTATAACATTAAAGAGCCTGAATTTATAAAGAGACGATATGTCAAAATTGGAACAATCAATTATCTGTCAAAGTCATAGGAAAAGTTATTCCAATCGAGCAGAAGACCTGTCAAATGGATAAGGTGTCGCCTCTTTACCCAATTCAGTATCTTTATATAACATGTTTCCTACGCGCCTGCCACTGGGCTGCTAGCATCCCCTTGTTTCTAACTCCTTCAATTCACTGTTGAAGGGATGCTTTTTAGAATTTATAGAAGATATCAACTATGCCACTATGTTTACACTGTGTTTGAAATATTTCCAAATTTTTATTTTTATTTTAACTTATCTAAAAATAAAAGTAACTATAGAAAATTAAACTGAACCTCGCCGAGTTCGCTGCAGTGCATACTTTGCGCTCGATTACACATCTCTTCTAATTCATAGTCAACAAAAAGATGTCTTCCTGTTCCATCAAAGACTGTTCCTTTTTGTTTTTGAACAGGAATGGAGGGGTTGAATGCCAGTTTAGAACTATCGTATCGAGTATACAACTCGCTAGGGGTTCTGAAAATATAGAAACAGATAATGAAACCCTCTCGTGATCAATTCAATTGTAAATACATACAGCTTTCCTATATCCGGTGGTAGCATTCCGGGACCAGAGCTAGGTACACCATTTGCAATATTATTTGCAAATTTCCTCACTGTCGGATGGTAGTGTCTATACAATGCCGTTAGCTCATACAGGCTCGTACAGTTCGCATTACTGAATTCAGGTTCTTCCACTTTTGGGTCGTATACTCCTGATCCAACAACTGAATCTATGTCCAACAGAATATCCAACGATGTATTAAGAAGCATTCCGGTCCTCATAACGCCAAGACAGCCCAATGCTCCGTTGTGTAACAATTGCAACGACATCATGGATAGTCGTTTGACGAATGCTAAATACCGATGATAGGTAATATTGTTACGACGCTTTAGTAATACACTGTCCAACGTTGCAAGTATTGATTCCAAATCTTCATGATTTTTACCTTTAAAATTCAAAAGACAATAGTTAGGTAGGTACAATAAACAGTCGCTACATACAAGTAAGCAAAAGTGTCAGTTGATACCAATAGGCTTCCTAAGCATATAATATTATTAAGCATACATATATCACTCACCGGCGTGAACACTGAGTAAATTCTTGTAAAAGTGTGTGTAGAATCGTGCAGGATCGATGTTAAGAACTTCACCTTGGCCCTTGAGAATGGTGAAAACAGTTTGTATACAATGCAATTGCTCTCGATGACCGAGATTTGCATGAACCAATAGATTATTCAGCACTTCGATTAAATCGGAGAAAAACTCAATATTGATTGTGTGCGCGAACCTATCAATGATCAAATAATATGATTTAACAATAATTAATCTTAAACCTTCAAGCACATGAAACTTACTTAGAAAGACCTTCGAGTGTAACGCTTAGTAGCTTAGAGTTCGGAGCCGTTTTCAATATACGGAAAAATATTGTGAACACAAGCTTCGTTATGTCGGTTAGTTTTTTTAATTGGACCTGTTTACTTTCTTCAGCTTTGGTCTCAAATAGCTCTTTCTCTAGTTCAGCTAGCTTCTTTTTCCGTTTCCGTTCCTGTCTCGACATGTTGATAACCCGTGATTTGTGCGCTTCGAGCCTTTTCAATTTTAGCTCCTTCTCTTTCTCAGCGTTAATGTTGACATCTTTGATTTGCAAATATTTTAAACATGAAACCGTTTCCGGATGCACCCCGTGATCCTTTTTTTTAACAAGCTGGTTGATGTGCCGAACAATCTGAAAATAACAGCATCATACGACAAGTTTCACGTTACGATGATATCTAGATATTATCGATACAGCTGAAAACCGCAATAACCCACCAGCGACAATCGATTTTACTCTCTTTATACTTTACAGTGTCGGCCGACACTACAGAATGAGAGTAACATCGAATGTCGCTAGTGGGTTATTCCGCTTTTCAGCTGTACAAACAATATTTTATTTATTTTGCAATACTTACGTGTTTGCACATATCGAACCGGCTATCCGTCTTGAAAATTGTAACAAAACAAGAATGCACAAGCTTTCGAACATTCTCTTGATCGCTATTCAGCATCGTTACCAACATTTGACCAATGTTCATGCTGTAGTTGAAGTACGGATGCGCCATCAGTAGATCGCACATGCATTGGACAGCCACCACAGCGATGCTTTGCTTCTCTTCAATGTCTTGCTTGTTCAGTTTACGACTACGCCTCAATTGCTGCGTGAAGCCCTCGCAGTGGATGAGAAACTTTTTGTACTGCAATAGCAACTCGTTTTCATAGCTCACGCGAGCCAAAGTCGTTTTCTTCACTGTGGAGATTAAACACATAAATAGATTATTGTAGAACAAGAAATAACAATACAGTCAACTCAAAATAGCAACATACAATACAGTCAACCGTCTATATTGTAGGGACCATCGAGTTATAGAATTATCGATTTATAGAACACAAAAAAAAACTCCCGAATTATTTTATCTACACTGAACTTAAATCACATGTAATCTCCATTGGCAAAATCCGTTAAATTTCATTGGATGTCCAATGAACGGTTGTGCTACATTAGACCGAATGTAATTTCCCCGAATGTCCCATAACCACGAATCCAATTAAAACCTATGCCCCATTTGCCATTTCCCCGAACGTTGCCATATTTAACAAGAAAAAATCTTAAAAGTTCCGGTACATAAGTGATGGTAATCTGGGGGTAATAGAATCCCGATTAGATTAGATTTTGACAGATGGTTTTATATGTTGCCTATCAATAATTTTACCTTCTTTCAAATATGAGCTGTTTTTTCTGTTTGTGTTTTTTTACTCTTTATTCGTTCCAAATTCAAAATAAATTACATTTCAATTTAAACTAGGTGCTCTTACCAGCCTTAATTGTTATGATATATATCTAAGTGTTTTAACATTATTTTTGCCTTGGCAATTCAGTATTTTAAACAGGTTTTTTTTTTTAATGTATGTCAGTATAACAATTTACATCTTAAAACTAAAAACTAACACTAAATCTTATCTAAGTATAAAGGGAATTCATTGCAATTGCGGATTGCAACGATTTTTGCCTGAAATTATTAATTATTTTGTTGGGCATTTGTTCTAAAGTCTCAACATTCGAAATTATATGTAAAGGGTGATACGGTCAAAATTTGGTCAAGGGAAAACGCGTGTAAATTGGTGAAATCGTTTATTTAATAAATCAAATTAAGTTTCTTTTTCAAGTTCAATTAGTATAAAATTCAGGAAAAATATTAAGTTAGGCTTCCGCTTTTCCAAATCCGAATTGCCGGGCCTTACGCTTGACCCCTGCCATCAGATTTTGTACAGCCACCTTGTCCACCTTCTTCGCCGCAGAAAGCCAGTTTGCCTTGAACTGCTGCTCGCCCTTAGCAGTTTTTTTGGTCTTCTTTAGGTTCCGCTTGACAATAGCCCAGTATTTCTCAATTGGGCGGAGCTCTGGCGTGTTGGGAGGGTTCTTGTCCTTGGGAACCACCTGCACGTTGTTGGCGGCGTACCACTCCATGGCCTTTTTACCGTAATGGCAAGATACCAAATCCGGCCAAAACAGTACGGAACAACCGTGTTTCTTCAGGAAAGGCAGCAGACGTTTATTCAAACACTCTTTCACGTAAATTTCTTGGTTGACAGTCCCGGAAGCTATGAAAATGCTGCTTTTCAAGCCACAGGTACAGATGGCTTGCCAAACCAGATATTTCTTTGCGAACTTTGACAGTTTCATGTGCTTGAAAACATCTGCTACCTTTCCCCTTCCTTTTGCCGTATAAAACTCCTGTCCCGGAAACTGCTTGTAGTCGGCTTTGACGTAGGTTTCGTCGTCCATTACCACGCAGTCAAACTTCGTCAGCATCGTCGTGTACAGCCTCCGGGATCGCGCTTTGGCCGTCGTATTTTGTTTATCATCGCGATTTGGAGTCACTACCTTCTTGTAAGTCGATAGTCCGGCTCGTTTTTTGGCTCGATGCACGGTTGTAGACGATACACCCAGCTTATTTGCGGCATCTCGAAGAGAGAGGTTAGGGTTTCGCTTGAAACTACCGGCAACTCTCTTTGTCGTCTCAGCGGCTTCCGGTTTCCGATTTCCCCCCGATCCAGACTTCCTGGCTGTCGACAAACGTTCCCCAAACACTTTAATTACATTTGTAACGGTTGATTTGGCAACTTTTAGCGATTTTGCCAACTTTGCGTGCGAGTAGCTCGGATTTTCGCGATGCGCGAGCAAAATTTTGATATGCTGCTCTTCTTGCTTGGACGGCATTTTGACAACTGAAGAGTGAATTCCAAAATCAAAATAGGAGCAACATTCTACACACACACACCTTCAAAATGAGGGGTGTTCAGGTTTTTTAAATGCAAAATTGAAAGAAATACGTCAAGTTGATATTGACCAAATTTTGAACGTATCACCCTTTACCTCAGTAGTACCAGGGCGGCAACTTCAAAATCATCGTCAGAACTTTGTTCTGAATCCTATCCTTTGAAGTACTTTTTTCCTGGTCGTTCAAAAACTAGACTATATTGGCATAGCGTAAAGCATGCTTGGTCTAAAAATGTGTTTAAATATTAGAAGTTTATTCGTCGCGCAAAGTTTAGATTTCCTGTTTATAACAGGATACAAACATTTTATATATTTGTTACATTTGGCTTAAATGCCCTCAAAAGTTAATTTTTGGTCAAGTACTAATCCAAGATATTTCACTTGGTTTGACCAGGAAATTGGTACCCCGTTCTAAGTGACTATGTGACTACTACTAGGTTTCAAAAAGGAAGCTCTAGGCTTTTGTGGAAATATCATAAGTTGAGTTTTGGAAGCGTTGGGAAAAATCTTCCATTTTTGTAAATAAGAAGAGAAAATGTCTAAACTTTTCTGCAGTCTGCTGCAAATAACACGAAGACTTCTTCCTTTAGCGGAAATGCCTGTGTCATCAGCGAATAAAAATTTGTGGCAACCCTGAGGCAAATCAGGAAGAGTCGCGCACGGAACCCATTTGGATACGGTTGTGTTGGTTCTCTGTTTTGTGCGTGCGTTCGCTTTCATAGTTTCGGTTGCATTTGCGGGCTTAGCGCTAACACTCTGCCTCCCGGACGGCTATACGTGTGTGATTGGTGGTGTTCTCGCTTTCTGGGAAGTTTTAGAATCGAGAAAGAAAACGTGAATTATCATGTTTGCAAGCATCAGAAGATTTGGCACTTCCTGCGTTGTTTGATTTTTTTTCTCTCGGACCAGATATTTGTGGCATCGCGAGTGATAATGTTTCATTTCAGTTTATGTAGCGCGCAAGGTGTGTGAAAGAGCTTGGCACGATCGGTGTTGATGTTGGTTCACTTGCAACTATTTTTGCAAAAAAAAAAAAATTAAGTTTTTTCGAAAGAAATTGATATCGAAAGTGTACCAAAAGTGCTTCTGAACGTGTTTCGCAGTTAGATGGTGAAATTCGCGGTTGTTTTCAGTGAAAATTCCGTATCACAAATTTTCTCACCGAGTTCCCTTTTTTTGCCGTTTGACGACATCGGGAATGCGCTCCCGGATATATTGATTTGGTGAGTACGTTCCAGTTGAGGATTGTTCTTGTACATTTCTCGATTGCATTTTCGAGGGGACGTGTCTGCTTTTGTAGGCAGTGCGTTTGATGGTCGGTTTGGTAGTATCCTTTTAAATATAATGTCTCATGTCCAAAGAACCTCGATTTTCGGTCTATTGATTCAATACTTTAGTATTCTATTTTCAAAACATACAATGATGCATTATGTCATTTCATGGCACATAAAACAAAAAGTGTGTGTATAGGACCCAATAATCTAGGTTATTTGTATTTTGTAAAACATCTTTATTTTTTATTATATTTTTCATTTTACTACATATACATTATATATTACATGATTATGTATAAATTCATAATGTAAATTACAATAAATACTGGGACGGGAGGGAGCATCAGGGCATCATTGAAGTTGTAACTGGACAATGGAGTGGAGTGCCAACCGGAGTCTAGGAGGGAATGTGTACTGTCATTTTAGATAGTTACATTCCACTCCAACAGTTGCAATGAATTTGACGCGCTTTTCTTAAACAAACCATCCCGTGGAAAGCTTAACATCCTTTTTGGCCCTTCATACAGCAGTATGTTGAATTCAGAATGATGACGGAATTTGATCTTGCTGTTGAGTGGAGCCGCATGCAGGGCAAGACCCAAGCTAGGATGGTGGCTACATACATACATACATACATACATACCCTGAGGCAAATCAGGAAGGTCCGAAGTGAAAATTTTATACAATATAGGCCCAAGAATGCTACCCTGAGGAACTCCTGCTCTAACAGTTAGTTGTTCAGATTTGGAATTTTGATAATTTACCTGTAGAGTTCTGTCAGTTAAATAATATTGAACTAATTTCATAATATAGAGTGGAAAATTAAACTTTTTCAATTTAGCAATCAAACATTCATGCCAAACACTGTCGAATGCTTTTTCTATGTCTAGAAGAGTAACTCCAGTTGAGCAGCCTTCAAATTTGTTTGAACGAATTAAATTGGTAACTCTTAAGAGTTGATGAGTAGTTGATAGTGTTCTGGTATTGGTAATGGCGAACGTTATAGTTTATTTCGCAGTGCTGTGATATATATTCAATTAATTAAGTGTTAAATTGTGCTTATGCCGCGGTAGAATTGATCCTACGCGTGCCCCGTAGTGATAATTTATTGGATAAGTAGGAGAACAGTTGCTGCTGCCGCTGGTTCTCGTTCAATTTTTGTGTTTTCCTTCGCCCGGCAAGCTATTTGGTACCCTTTTAGTAAGCTACGGCATTGTAAATTTTTGCTTTCGTTCGTTTTTACTTGTGTCTCTGTAGTGTTGCACGTAAAGTTTATGTGTATTATAGGTGATATATATGGCTGAGTGTGCAATATGTAATTTGGGGATTTTGGTAAGTGATTTGCCGGTTATCTGTGTGGGTAAGTGTGCTCGTGTATTTCATTGCAAGTGCACTACACTCACGCGGACTCAGGCAAAGCTTATCACAGATAATGCAAATGTTCTATTCAAGTGTAGTAATTGTCTGTCAGATCAGATTTGTGACGAGCAGAATGTATCGGTTTCGGATACCAAAATGCTGGGGGAAGCAATGAAGCAATTGTCTTCTGTTGCTGACTCTATCACTGGTATACGAAACGACGTTGCTGCTCAGATAGACAACGCGTTGAGAATTGGCATGGAAAAAATGCAACAAAATTTGAACGATTCATTAAGTTGCTTTGAAAAATTAATTAGTGAAAAATGGAATACGATG